TATATATATATTAAAATAATACATATTAATTTTTAACTCTAAAATATCTTAAAATTTCAAACTTTTAAACTACCAAATTTTGTTCAATTAAGAGCTTGTTTAGTTTGATTTGTGAGAGGTTTTGTTTTTCAAATATTGTTATGAGTAATAAATTTAAATTTTTATTGGAGAAAAAAATTAAAAATTGTTTTTAAAAATAATAAAAAATAAATAAGTAAAGAGTTTATGAAAAATTTAAATTTAAAATTTTTTCATTTTTATTGTTTGAAATCTTTTTAATGTTAAAAAAATTAAAAATATAAATTTTTTTTAAAAAAATTTAAATTTATAAAATATAAATAATATAAAAAAATTAAAGCTTTTAACAACTCCACCAAACACGCTATAAACCTCAAATGCTCCTTCCACCCTACGCCTCCTGCAAGATTTCCACCCATGAAATTTAATTCTCACTGACAACAACAGAGAGAGAATTGATAAGGACATTGATTTAGAATTATTCTCCTCGCTCATAATGATGGAAAGAAGTTGGTAAGAAAATAGCTTTATAACGTGCCTACCGTAACCTAAACTTTCCTAAACCTCTCCTTGACTCAATTATTGTTAGCTTATTAAATATATTATTATTTTGTTATTGTCTTGTTGGAGTTGATTATGGTTAAGAGAAGGGTTATGTACACTCAACAGGTTGGTCCAAGTGCACATGTTTTTTCCTAAACATGCATAAGCTGAAATGCTTTCTTTTTCTATTTTGTGCTCTATTCATGTCTAATAAATATTCCCCCACACAAACATTACCATATAGAGTAATTAATTATTGGTTTCTTTAGGATTCTTACTTTTTCTAGTGGTTGTTTGATCTAAAACAAAAGCACGTAGTCCATTTCCAATAATTACCTTTTTATTTGAAAAACATCGTATTAAGATAAGTTTCACTGGGTGTCAATCTGCGTGAGAGGATGTACGATAACGTTTTTGATTTTGTTGGTTTGTGATTGGATGGTTTGTAGGGTGCAGATGCTCTGGTGGTAACAAGTGATGGTGACCCATAACCCACCATTTTCTCCCGCATTGATCCACTTTTCTAATGGTGACGTAGCCGTGTCTATTCACTTTTCTAATAGGGAAGTTATCTTTTATGAGTATGTATGATTCGCTTTCTATTACAATCGAAATTAGACTAGGTTAATAAAAGTTTCAAATTTTAAGTTTTAGTAATTATTACTTAAATAAAAAAAGACAAGTTTTATTACTTTTAGTTGTATTTTCTTTAATATCAATTTAGATTAGTTTTAATTTTAATAAAAAACTATTTTTATATTTTTAATAATTTTTTAAAAAATTCTTTAATTATTATTTATTAATTTCTATCCAAAATTAAAATTTACTTAAATAAATAAATAATTTAGTAAAAAGTGACTAACGAACTTAAAAATATCTAAAAATTATTAAAAAAATGTTAGGCTTTTTACAATTTTTTTTAAACATAAGGAATTATGAGGAAATATGATTTTTTTAAGTAATTAGTGAAAGTCAAACTTCTAAATTAAGATATGAGAACAAATCACTATACTTAAAGACTTGGTTCAAGCTTTTTACAAAATTTAATATAGTAGTAAGTATAAATTAATAGTTGATTGGATCCCTAGATATGGTTTTATATATTTTCTCACACAGACTTATTAATTGGGTGTTGCAAAATTGCTATCAGTTCCCCCGTATCACACGAATGGAATACTTCGTTGGTTTAGTGGTCGTTGGCCCATCCATTCTCTTTCTTCTCCCCTGCTGTTTCTCTTTCTTTTGATCCTTTTATTTTTAAATGTGTGACTCGTCCTCCCTTGAAATTATTTACAAAATTAGAACCTTCATTGGTGTAACTCTGCCTACTTTCATTCATATTATAAAAAATATTGAATCGATAATTTAAATAATTTAATAATAATAATTT